GTGGTGGCCATCTTGGCACCTTACCCTGAGCTCCACCTGCAGCTGCTGGCCAGCACAGCAGACTGCTATACAGTGGAAAGAGCCCCACATATTGACTAACCTTTTATGAGCCTGTTATTTCTTCCATCATGTAAGTGTATTTAACAGCACTTATTAAAGCCTATTTGGACTTATTGCACTTAGAAGCGCCTTCTGGTCTCTTCTCTCCTTCACCCAGAGTATCCTTCATACCCAGAGTGCTGCCCAGTGCATGTCTCCATTCCATCACAAACTACTGGCTGTCATCTCCTCATCCACCATCTCCTTTACAGATGTGCCCATGAATTTTTCCTTTAGCAGGCAGGAAATGGTCATGTTTACACCTAAAACACAACTTTATGTGCAGAGCCTTGAGCAAAGACAGCTGTCCAACAGGTAATAAGATAATTTCATTCAGGGTTATTTAAGCGTTTAAGGAAATTCTGTACACTTCCTCTTACAGATAGGCAATCATCAATATTGTGTTTCCATGAAATCAATTCCAGGGCTATCCTGTTATTAATAAAAATCTTATGTGCATACAAGGCAAATTTACAGACAATTGCTAAAATGTTTAAAGTAGAGTTCCACTCACCCTGTCAAAAAATAAAAGTCAGCAGCTACAAAAACTGTAGCTGCTGACTTTTAAAAAATAGCCACTTACCTGCCCCTCGATCCCATGGTGTGTCCCCTGCAGTCCGTTTCACCGGCTGTCCTGTACTGCTGGATGCCAGCATCTTCAGTGTGGGCACCCGGCTGTGACTGCTGTACCCACTGTGCATGCATGAGAAGTGCTGAGCTTTGTGAATGGTCCTGTATTCTTCTGGGACCTGTCACATGTCCCAAAAGACTATAGGGAAGGAGTGATGGAGAACACCTTTTGTTTCCGATCGCCTAGGCGATCGGACCGAAAATGGGAGTGCGTACCTGTAAAATTTGGGTACCTGCCCCCCCCACCCCCAAAGGTGCCAATCCTTAATGGGGAGCGGGGGACCAGTCCTTAAAGCAGAACTTCACCTTTTGGGTGGAGCTCCGCTTTAATAGTTTGAAATGAGCAACATTATGCCATAAAATAAAATTTTCTAAAACCAACCTAATAGCTTTTATTAAAAGTTTAGACTTATTTTCTCTACTGTTCCCTCTGGCAGAGCCTTTTCATCCACACAAGAGTGAACACATCAAATGTACCTTCTATTGTGTCTGTCCATTTTAAATGATTCAGACTCTTCAAAGCATTCTTGGTACAAAAGAAAATTACATACAAATCAATACCTCAGACTATTAGTCTTCCTGGAGGATTCGCTAGACTCTTATGGATTTTGGAAGTAAATATATAACTTTAATAGTAGGATGTTTTATATCCATTTACTCCTGAATTTTTACCAGTAACAACATTTGCATATGTTTTTCTTTAAAATGTTAAATTAATATTTATTCTGAAATTTTAGGTCACTTTTAATTTCAAATATGTTCCGTTATCCACTAATTGTCTATTTCTTTCTTTCTTTCTCTGTATCCATGACTATTCAGCCTAAAGACAATTTGCTACTGTATTTCTGTACAGATTTTCCAATGCCTTTCATTCCTTTCCCGTTAAATTTTGCCATCTTACAGTTCCCGCCTCCAATTTGTCCAATTCATCCAGGACAGTCTTTTAAAAATGTTAATAAATTAGGTAGGTATATTTTCCACTTTAGTTCCATTATATTTTTGTAATAGTACATTTTACTTTTTGTTAGCTTTCTTTTACAAAGAATTTTATTATAGAGTAAGCAAAGTTAAACAGACATTCGACAGACAGATGCATTGACCAACAAAAATAAATTGTACAATGTAATTGAGCACTAGTGTAAGTCATATATCGGAAGAAACGTGAGCTTTATCTTATAACAGAAATGCCCTGGGGGAGAAGACGATTAGGGGGGTAGGAAAGAGACAACTAACAATCTTTGAAGGTCAATGAAATTGTAGACTCTAAAATGGAATTTTGCTACATCAACATATAGAAAACATGAGATACCAAACTTCGGGCTCATGAAGAAATCCAAGTTGCATAAGTAGCATTACATATGTAGCACATAAAACAATAAGCCCACTCATTAGGACATGGATAGGAACAGATTAGACAGAAGAATAAAAAAAAGACATTCAATGAAAAGACACGAACAAAGAGGAGAGAGAGAGAAAAAAAAAAAGGGGGGAAGGGGGGGGGGGGGCTCCAAGGAAATCACAGCAGAATCCATCCTCATATTGATAGAAGGGACTGGTCAAATCTTGATGGTTGGGCTATATCCAGCCAGGGACGCCATATCCGCAGAAAATGTGGAATGGGTATCCAACAATATGGCTGTCAGTTTTTCATTAACCATTATAAAATTCATCCAATTTTTGACAGCCTCAAAGCTAAGAAGAGGGGTCTTCCAAGCCCTCGCAATTGTCAATTTAGTATAGCCACAAATAAGTGTGTTGCCAGCTGCCGTTCAGGGCGGAGAAGACCCTCCAGTGGTTTAAATAGAAGTGCTTCATACGGGTTACGTTTAATGTCTGTGTGAAACATAGTGCGGAGGAGGAGGGCATACACCCTGATCCATAATCTGCTTACTTTAGGACAAGTCCACCACATGTGAGCCATGGTATACCCGATTGTTGGCATCCCCGAAAACAAACTGGGGAATATGTAGGGATGAAACTGGCCAAACGAGCAGGCGTGTAGTACCATCGGTAAAGGATTTTGTAGGCATTCTCAAGAATAATAACATTCCTAGAACATTTAGATAATGCTTGGGTCATGGTCCGCCAGTCCTGTTGATCCAAAGACCCCCCTAATTCAGACAGCCAACGCTGATGATAGGAACGAACCGGGGGGTTCTATAAGAAATAATGGAAGAGTAAATCAGGGAAATCAAACCCGGAGCATGGGGTCTGTGTCTGCACTGGCTTTCAAAGGGGGACAAATGATAAGGTCCTGAATGCGTACGTATTAGTGTATTAACAAAGTGACGGAGTTGAAGATATCCAAAGTGTTCCCGCATGGGAATATTATAAGAAGAACGCAGAGTTTCAAAGGTAAGTATTCGAGTGGGAGATAAGAGTGAATGTACATTGTAGAACTCATGCGTCTGCCACCAGGTAAACTGCCTGGGATATCTCGGCCTGGAGGGAATAGCGGGTTATGCAACAGACGTAACAACGGCAGGTGAGCAGAAAATAGGCCAGCAGAATACTTAATAGAATCCCAAAGACGGAGTGAGAGAGTCAACGTTGGACTAAGAGTAGACGGACGTAAAGAAGTAGGAAGCCACGGCAAGGAGGAGAGCGGTATCGGAATGGGAGTCCATCATATCCACAACAGCCCACAAGGGAAAATGATGAGAAGCCAAATGATATGAGCCAAAGGAGCAATATTAGCTGCCAGATAGTAAGACTGGAGATTTGGGTCAGATAATCCACCCTCACTCCTTCACGCAAATAAAATATGTTTACTAATTCTGGGTTGAGAAGAACTCCAGATAAAGGACAAAAGCTTTCGCTGTGGATACGCAGTATATGCGAAGGTACTGGAATTGGTAAAACACGAAATAAGTACAGTAGTTTAGGGAGATAGGTCATACGGATCGCATTTATTCTGCCGAACCATGAAAGCGGAAAGTGAGACCAGGAGGTCAATAGCTCAGTCAGCTCCTGAAAGACAGTGGGAAAATTAGCCTGGTACAGTCCGTCATATGTCGGAGTGAGCTTAATTCCTAAATAATGGTAAGGCCGAAAGCCATTGAAAAGGGAACGTTTTTGTTTCAAAGTCGTCAAAAGTGATGGTGGGAGGGTAATCGACATAGCTTTTGATTTGGCCGGATTGACGTGAAGACCCGAGAGACTTGCAAAAGAATCGAGAACTGCGAGTAAATTAGGTAGAGTAACCCCCCGGATTCGAAATTGACAATAGTATATCTTCGGGCAAAAAGAGACAATTATATGTTGTGAGCCTGCCACATCAATCCCCTTAATATCAGGATTAGAGATGAGCGAAATTTCTCAAAAATTCGATTCGGGCAGATTCGGCATATTCCAGTGTGAAATTCGATTCGATGCGAATTTCTTCGCTACGAAGATGACTTATAAAAAGGGTTTCTAGGTCTTCAGAGAGCCTTTAAAATTAGTGCAGAACACTTGTACCTTTAATTTAAATGCCCTTGGAGATGAGGAAAGAGAAGGAGAAGGAGAAGGAGAAGGATGAGAAGAAGGAGAAGGATGAGAAGAAGGAGAAGGAGAAGGATGAGAAGAAGGAGAAGGAGAAGGATGAGAAGAAGAAGGAGAAGGATAAGGAGAAGAAGGAGAAGGAGAAGGATGAGGAGAAGGAGAAGGATAGAAGGATGAGAGAAGAAGGAGAAGGAGATGAGAAGAAGGAGAAGGATGAGAAGGATGAGAAGAAGGAGAAGGATGAGAAGAAGGAGAAGGAGAAGGATGAGAAGATGGAGAAGGAGAAGGATGAGAAGAAGGAGAAGGAGAAGGATGAGAAGAAGAGAAGGGAAGGATGAGAAGAAGGAGAAGGATGAGGAGAAGGAGAAGGATGAGAAGAAGGAGAAGGATGAGAAAGAAGGAGAAGGATGAGAAGAAGGAGAAGGATGAGAAGAAGGAGAAGGAGAAGGATGAGAAGAAGGAGAAGGATGAGAAGAAGGAGAAGGATGAGAAGAAGGAGAAGGAGAAGCAGAAGGAGAAGGATGAGAAGAAGGAAAAGGAGAAGGATGAGAAGATTGGAGAAAGGATGAGAAGAAGGAGAAGGAGAAGGATGAGAAGAAGGAGAAAGGATGAGAAGATGGAGAAGGAGAAGGATGAGAAGAAGGAGAAGGAGAAGGATGAGAAGAGAAGGAGAAGGAGAAGGATGAGGAAGAAGGAGAAGGAGAAGGATGAGAAGAAGGCATTGAAGGAGAAGGAGAGAGAAGAAGGAGAAGGATGAGAAGAAGGAGAAGGATGAGAAGAAGGAGAAGGAGAAGATGAGAAGAAGGAGAAGGATGAGAAGAAGGAGAAGGATGAGAAGAAGGATGAAAGAAGAGGATGAGAAGAAGGAGAAGGATGAAAGAAGGACAGTTCTGTGACAGTTTCTGTCTATTTCTGACAGTTCTGGGACATTCACACCCATACAGCTGTTTCCAACCGCTGTATGGAGGGAATGTCATGGAACTGTCAGAAATAGACTATTAATGACAGTTTCTGGGACTGTCCTTCCCATGCAGCGGTTTGAAACATTGTATGTATTTGTTTCCATAAATGGATCCATTTATGGAAACAAATAGATACAATGTTTCAAATTCAATCCCGCTGTATGGAAGGACAGTCCCAGAACTGTCATTAATAGTCTATTCTCTGACAGTTCTATGACATTCCCTCCATACAGCGGTTGAAACAGCTGTATGGAGTGATGTCTTCCCAGAACTGTCAGAAATTAGACCTATTTATGGACAGTTCTGGGACTGTCCCTTCCATACAGCGGTTGAAACATTGTATCTATTTTTTTTCCATAAATGACATTCTGCAAATACACTTAGAGGAGCGCTGCAGATACACTTTTTGCACCGGCTTGGAATTAATCTTATTTTCATCCTACTTCTTCTTCTTCATCCTCAATCCTCATAAGAAGAAAAAGAAGAAGTAGGATGAAAAATAAGAATAATTCCAAGCCGGCAAAAATGTTTCTGCAGCGCTCCTCTAAGTGTATCTGCAGAATGTCATTTATGGAAAAAAATAGATACAATGTTTCAACCGCTGTATGGAGTGAATGTGCCCCAGAACTGTCATAAATAGTCCTATTTCTGACAGTTTCTGGGACATTCACTCCCATACAGCTGTTTCAACCGCTGTTTGGAGGGAATGTCTAAGATAGAACTGTCAGAAATCTGACTATTTATGACAGTTCTGGGACTGTCCATCCATACAGCTTTTGAAACATTTGTATGTAAATTGTTTCCATAAATGGATCCATTTATGGAAACAAATACATACAATGATTTCAACCGCTGAATGGAAGGACAGTCCCCAGAACTGTCATTAATAGTCTATTTCTGACAGTTCCAGACATTCCCTCCATACAGCGGTTCCCCTCCGGCAAAAAGTGTAATGTGCAGAGTTCCTCTATTCTGCAGATACACTTAGAGGAGCTCTGCAGATACACTAGAGGAGCTCTGCACATACACTATTTTTGCCGGCTTGGAATTATTCTTATTTTCATTCTATTTCTTTCTTCTTCTTCATCCTCATCCTCATCCTCTTCTTCTTCTTCTGAGATGAGGATGAAGAAGAAGAAGAAGAAGAAGAAGTAGGATGAAAATAAGATTAATTCCAAACCGGCAAAAAGTGTATGTGCAGAGCTCCTCTAAGTGTGTATCTGCAGAATAGAGGAACTCTGCACATACACTTTTTGCCGGCTTGACAATTATTCTATTTTCATCCTACTTCTTCTTCTTCTTCTTCATCCTCTTCTCTTCTTCTGAGGATGAGGATAAAGAAGAAGAAGAAGAAGAAGAAGAAGTAGGATGAAAATAAGATTAATTCCAATTCCAGGCAAAAAGTGTATGTGCAGAGCTCCTCTAGTGTATCTGCAGAATAGAGGAACTCTGCACATACACTTTTTGCCGGCTTGAATTATTCTTATTTTCATCCTAACTGCGGCTTCTTCTTCTTCTTCATCCTCATCCTCATCCTCAGAAGAAGAGGATGAGGATGAGGATGAAGAAGAAGAAGAAGAAGTAGGATGAAAAGAAGAATAATTCCAAGCCGGCAAAAAGTGTATGTGCAAGTTCCTCTATTTCTGACAGTTCTCTCACAGCTTCTTCACATGTACAGCGGTTGAAACATCTGTATCCTAAATGGAAACTAATAGATACAAATTGTATCTATAGTTTCCATTTAGGATACAGATGTTTCAACCGCTGTACATGTGAAGAAGCTGTGAGAGAACTGTCAGAAATAGAGGAACTCTGCACATACACTTTTTGCCGGCTTGGAATTATTCTTCTTTTCATCCTACTTACTTCTTCTTCTTCTTCTTCATCCTCATCCTCATCCTCTTCTTCTGAGGATGAAGATGATGAAGAAGAAGAAGTAGGATGAAAAGAAGAATAATTCCAAGCCGGCAAAAAGTGTATGTGCAGAGTTCCTCTATTTCTGACAGTTCTCTCACAGCTTCTTCACATGAACAGTGGTTGAAACATCTGTATCCTAAATGTAAACTAATAGATACAATGTTTCAACCGCTAAACATGTGTTCCTTCTGTCAGAGAACTGTCAGAAATAGCGGAGCTCACTGCAGGGACACTTTTGCCGGCTGATCGGGAAATGTTCGATTCGCGCACACCCGAAGTAGGCAAAATTTCGGTTTCGCCGCGAATCGAATATTTCCTGAAATTCGACTCGAATTCCGGTTCGCCTGGTTCGATTCGCTCATCTCTAATCAGGATGCATACGAATGGCTTCCGCCAATGGTTCCAAGGCTAGGATAAAAAGTATAGGGGAGAGCGGACAACCTTGCCTAGTGCCTCTGGCAACCAAGAACGTAGAGGACTCAAATCCGTAGTATTTAAGCTTCACTTGAGGGGAAGTGTATAGCGAAGAGATCCATCTTAAAAACGAAGAACCAAAACCAAAGTGGTGAAGTACCGCCAGGATAAAGTGTCAAAGGCCTTGTTAATATCTAAGGATAGGAGCATCATATCGAGTTTACGAGTATGGGCTAAATGTTGTAATTGTAAAATACGTCTAATAGCATCTCCGGCTTGTCTATGGGGAACAAATCCCATCTGATCCTTTTTAATCAGACGAGAAAGAAAGGAGTTCAATCGAGTGGCCAAAATCTTAGTGAAAATCTTCATATCAATATTAATAAGAGAAATAGGTCTATAGTTTGCCCAAGAAGAATGATCTCGATCTGGTTTAGGGATCATAGCCACATTAACGGTTAAAGAATCCGGGGAAAAGTTCTAACCTCTCTTCACCGCATTAAACATAGCGGCAAGGTGAGGAGCGAGCACATCAGCAAATTTCTTATAACATAGTGCCGTGTATCCAGGACCTGGACGCTTGCCCGTCTTCAGGTCTGCTATGCATTTCAGAACCTCAGCTATTTGAATATCACGGTCCATTAGGTCCTTCTGAGCCGGAGTCAAAGTAGGCAGGCACAGACGATAGAGGAAGTCAGAAATTGACTGAGAGTCAGCCCGTGTAGGATCAGTGTAAAGTTTGGCAAGACGATACCAGAACTCCTCCAAAACTGCCACAGGATTACTCGTAAGGGTATTGTGACGAGTACGCAAAGATATCGGTTTGGGATGATGCGCAAAAGAACGTAATCTACGGGCCAACATGGAGTCCGGTTTGTTTGCTTTACTATACCACTTCTGGCGTGTCCAGCGTAAGGAGCGCTCAGCCTCATCTGTTAAGCAAAGATCCAATTCTAAACGGGCCTGATCCAACGATCTACGGTTCGACGGGGTAGGTGACTGTTTAAATAGAGCCAATATGGAAGCTAACTTTGATTTCAACTGAGACTGTTTAAGCTGTCTTTCCGTCTTTCGCCTTGAGGCTATCTGAATAATATGTCCCCTAAGAACAGCCTTGTACGCTTCCCATAACGTTACCGAAGAAGAGACAGAACCCGAGTTTAATTGGAAATATTCCTGAGATTTGCGATGGAGTTCCGCCTGAATCTCCTTCAGCGAAAGCAAGGAATCATTCATTATCCACGAAGAAGAAGCCGGCCTACTTAGAAGAGATCGACAAACCACCAAAATTGGGTCATGATCAGACCACGGTACCGTGAGAATAGAAATAGAACGAACCAAAGGAAGGTGTTTACGAGATACGAAAGCGTGGTCAATTCTGGAATGAGAATGATGAGGGTGAGAATAGTAGGTATAATCCATCCCCCTAGGATGAAGTTCCCGCCACAAATCCACCAGATCATGAGTACGTAACGTACGGGTAAAGGACCTTGCTGATGCAGAAGGGTCAGAGCGCTCTGCTGGATATTTATCTAACACAGGGTTTAACACTAAATTGGAGTCCCCTGCCATCAAAAGAGTACCCCGCTAATGTGCAGCCAGCAGAGAACAAAGGTGTGACAAAAAAGGTCCAGGGTTAACGTTGGGAGCATAATAGGATACTATAGTAACCTCTATACCTTGGATCGTGCCCTGAAGCAGAAGGTATCTGCCATTAGGATCAGCAATACGCCTCACACAGACAAATGGAGTTTTACTATGGAAGGCGACCAAAATGCCTCTCTGTTTAGTGAGGCCAGTAGCCTGAAATATCCGAGGGTAACGAGCATCAAAGTATTTTGGGGCAGAAGTAGAAAAGTGAGTTTCTTGCAGACAAGCAATATCAACTTGACGAGCCCGAAGAAACTTAAAAATCTTTACCCGTATCTGCGGAGAGTTCATCCCCTGGATATTCAATGATAACCAGTTCAACGACATGGTGATCTATAAGGCAAAAGATCAAATCCACTGTGATCCCCGGAAGCCCGGAAATTTTTTTTTTTACGGAAACACACATGACAAAAAACAAAAAAAAGGAAACGAGAAAGAGAGGAGAAAACAAGGAGACATCTGGGTGGCGGGCAGGCCAAAAAACCAGACCGCTAGCCAACTCAGAGGGGACATGTTAGTCCACCGGAATAACTCGGCATTAATCAAAAAAAAGGTATAAAAACATTATGTATACAACTTAGGCTAATACACCTGTGAATGATCAATCCAAAACTCGCAGGACAAGGAAGATCTCAACCAGTGAATGATCAATCCAAAACTCGCAGGACAAGGAAGATCTCAACCAATCTGTGTAACAACAAACATCTACTCTTGATTGGAAGAAATAAAGCACATGGAGGTCATGAGACCCCTGAACAACTCCAGATTTAAATCTAGGGAGTGACGGTATATACTTTTTGTTAGCTTTCAAACATACTTATTGATTTATAATCAGTTTCATCTTCTCCCACCACAAGACTTTATTGTAAACCTCATTCATCATTGTTTTTGACCTTTCACTGGATCCCAAGGCATGGAGGTGGGCCTGAAGTAGAGGGAGAAAGATGGAGGAATAGGTTCTTGTCCCTAAAAGATAAGAGTGTGGAGGATATCGTATGGATGACATTTTATTTAAAACAATTGGCTTTTATTCAGACAAAAATCAGAACATTTGAACAGAAATGAACTGCAAGGAGGCATGACATAATATCAGTAAAAAGCCAGTCTAAGGCCCCTACTAAAGCTCATTAACGCCTGTCTAACGCCCATACTAAAGCTCATTAACGACCATCAAATGCTCATACCAAAGCTATAGGAGTGTTTGGTAAGAGTTAGAAATTTAGTCAAGTGTGAACAAGCCCTAAAAGTTAACCCCCATCACACATTCCCACTCTCTCTTCTTCACAGGTTGGGATTTTGCTTGTACTGTGAGTGGAGATACCTCCGCCCCCAATACAGTCTCTCTAATTCAGTGCCCCACAAGTGGCCCATGGGCTCTTGGGCAGCATACACCATAAAGAAGGGAGAGCGGCAGCTCGGTCCTGACAGGAGTTTCAGCACCTGGCTTCCCGAT